GCCACAGCTGAAAGTATGGTCAACACAGATATATAATAGAAACCAAGATCCATTAAGTAAATGAAAAAAATTTCATGTTCAACCGTACGGTTTAAACACATTTGGAGATGAGTGATTATTTGGAAAGAATACAGTACAGAAGTACAGAAGTTCTTTTTTTTTTTTTTTTCCTGTTTATTGCAACAATGTAATATGTTTTTTTGATTCAACATAAATGTGAATGAAATATACTGAGACTACATGCACCTTTCTATACAGTACATATGTGCAGTGTTATACAGTTCATGCTTTTTAAATGTAGTGGGTAAAACTGTGATCTTTACAATTTATATCTTTTCAGCAAACAATAGTTAGATCCTTGACATCTTAATGTCAACCAAAATAAGCATGAGGCTGATTGTCAGCATAAAAAAAAAATATTTTCCCTGTAATTATTTAAAGCTTTATTTTTTTTCATCATGTGCTTTCTAAAAGTGTATCATTTTTACTTTCAATTAAATACAGTATATACAGTTTAAAAAACTGGGGCGCAGTCATAGAACGGACCTGTTTAAATTGAGGTGTTTCTAATTTAGTTAGCTTATTCCTCAAGAAGTATAATCTGTGTTTCCATTTGTTATTGCTTTTGTTTGCCAAAACGAAAAGGAGTTTAAATTGCTCTATCTGAAACAGGCAACCAGCCATCACGTGTAGCTGTTGTAGCCAAGGAGCAAGGGTTGCATGAATCTACCAAATGCTGCTTTACCTCACCTTCTCCAAAAGGAATCAACAGGATTAATCTTGCTAGCACATCTTATTTTTGCATGTTGGTTTTTATTTTTCCCTGGTAATAAATCAAATATAAGAATGCTAAAATAGAAATTTGTGGAAGAGTTCATAATTAACTGTAACTCAGGGAAGGAAAGCTGAGTCACAATCAGCTAAACATTTTCATTAATAACAAGTGAAAACATTTTTTCTACCATCTGCAGAATCTGTTCTAATTTTCACTGTGTTCTCTTTTATTTATATTTGTTAGAAAAGTGTTAGCATTTAATTATTCTAAAATAAAAGGCTCCCATTAACAGGAGCTATTGTAGAAAATAGTAACACAGGGCAGGGCTGAAAAAAACAACTAAATCAGTTGTGGTGCATTCAGATTACATGGAATTCTTTTCATTTACATATCTACATGAAACATGACTCCTCAAGTCTCTGGAAATTGTCAGAGGTTGCAGATTCCTCATTCCTGTAGGCCCTGATGAAAATTCTTATTTCTATCAGAATGTTTCACTTCTACATAACATTCATATAGAATCATGGAATGGTTTCAGTTGGAAGGGACCTTTAAGACCATCTAGTTCCAACCCCCCTGCTATAGGCAGAGACATCTCCCTCTAGACCAGGTTGTTCAAAGCCCCATCCAGCTTGGCCTTGAACACCTCCAGGGAGGGGACATCCACATCCTCACTGGACAAGCTGTTCCAGTGTCTCACCACCCTCACAGTAAAGAATTTCTTCCAAATATCTAGTCCAAATCTACCCTCTTCCAGTTTAAAGCCATTTCCCCATGTCCTGTTGCTGTCTCCCCTTACAAGAAGTCCCCCCCAGCTTTCCTGTAGGCCCCCTTCAGGTACTGGAAGGACACTATAAAGTTCCCAGAGCCTTCTCTTCTCCAGACTGAAGAGCCCCAGCTCTCTGAGCCCATACTCATAGGGGAGGTGCTCCAGCCCGCTGATCCTTTGGACCTGCTCCAAGAGCTTCTTGCTTTGGGGGCTCCAGAACTGGACACAGTATTCTAGGTGGGGTCTCACAAGAGCAGAGTAAAGGGGCAGAACCACCTCCCTTGACCTGCTGGTCACACTTCTCTTGACGCAACCCACTATGTAGTTGGCTTTCTGGGCTGCACGCGCATACTGCCGGCTCACGTTGAGTCTTTCATCAACCAACATCCCCAAATCCTTCTCCTCAGGGCTGTTGAGAAGACCAATATCCATTGGTCTACCTCAGTTACTTTATTCAGGCTCTTCCAGCAAAAAACCCTACAGTGACTATAGAAGTGTTTCTGAAAGAGAAACCTTTCAATATTTCCAGAAGTATTTAATGGGCATTAACGCCACTTCATTTCATAGCAGCTAGGCACCACACTTCTCTCACAGCTTCAGCCTAGGAGCTGAAGAAAAAGGAAGAAAACATTCATGGTGTTAAAGGCAATGTTGAAAAGCAAGGAGCTACTAGAATAGAAAGCTGGTTTGCAGGTTTAAGTACCCTTCCAAAACCAGTCTTGAGATAACTGGAAATTGAAACTCTAAGCTCCTCAAAGAAGGAACAACAAGGAAGAATATGCGCATGTTGGAGGGAAGAAATAATATCATAACTTTCACCTTGGCAGGCATGTGCTTCACGGTACTTGAAGCAGGCAGTGAATGCTTCACTACTATTCAGATAAATTGAGCTGCTAAAAACATTTTCTGCCCATATTTTTTTCCTCACAGCTAAGTGCCTACTCAAAATGATTCACACCTTCGTCTTGCTGGATTTCTGGACAGGTCATTTAGACTTGATAGGCTCAGTTCCCCATCTGTAAAACTGAGATAGTGATACTTCTCCACCCAAGAGGAGCACACTGAGGACAAATGCACGAGGAACATTTAGAGGCTGTGGTGACACAGCCCACATGAAATCTTAAAGCAGGAACTTTGTGCTCTCTCTGGAACTAACAAACAAAACCAGCTTTTGTGTAGACAGGATGCAGAATGAACATGGGCTTGAAAGGCTCAAGGCAGTATGTTTACTACTGAAACACACATTTGCTATTATTTTCTCTGTACTTCCTTCAGGCAACAGTGGCACTACTAAAATAATTATCCTCCTGCCACCTCAACTCAAGAAACCTGACAGGAAGTGGGAGAAATTTTTATTTTCCCTTCTGCCCACCACCAAGTTAAATATTTCTTATTCCTGAGGCTGCAAACTTACCCTTCGTTCCCCAGAAAAAACAGAGGTAAGGAATTTAACTGCAGTAGCAGTCACATTACCATGCTTGCCAAAAAAGGAGAACTGATGAAGATGCATAAATTCCAGCATGTTTTTACAGAGGCACAAGACGAGAGGTGCAGCTATGAGCATTGCTTTTGAAAGGAGCTTTCCAAAGTATTACCATCAGAATTTCATTTTCAAAGCCAGTGCTAGCAATCTGTATTCCAAAATGCACAAACACAGTCAGTGCAAGCAACAGCCTGCTGGGCTTAAAAGTAAAACAACACAAACAAGAAAAACCCCACAAAACACACAAGTGGGCCCTCCTGAGCTACCAGGTTTGATTCCATTCCTCTAAGTCATCTCACCATGCACTCCTTTCACAGATGTCCAGCACTCCCGATACTAAACATCTCCCTTAGCTGCATCTAGCTGTATTCAGGCTGGTTCCTACCACAGATAGTACCTAAACTGCTTGGCAGTAGCAACTTGAGGGCATTCAGCACATTCATTCTTTCTGTTGGAATTCAGGAAAATTTAACAAGATATTGTGCAATGGAAGGAATGTAAACTGTAGCCTATTATCTCTCTTTAAATGACCTATAGCATAATGTATAGTCTACAGACAGCATGAAAGCTGCCACTGAAACAAACCACTGAAGTGTACTGCTGATGTTCATTAAGTGTTTGCCACATTACTCAGAACAAAAAAGCAGAATGTTCCCTAGAGCTTGGGCAGAGACAACATAACAAGACTCTAGTAAGTATGTTGAATCTGAAGTAGTGGTTACACTTCATTAGATCTGCCAGTAATTCTGTCACTCTGCAGGAGACTCCATCAGAGCATGTGTAGCCCAGCATCTCAGTGCTATTAATCCTGCCTAACAAGTGTGAGGTGATAGGTGATGTAACTAAGAAACAAAATCAAATACAGTACTCTTCATTTAATAAACACAGTGGAGTTTGTTCAGATACCCTCAAGGAAGGAATCTGGAGTCAACTGGTGGATGGCAATTTTATCAACCTGGGCCTGACCCACCAGGTTAAGTAATTTCTGCAGAAGCATGTATGATGGTGTGTACTCTGACAATGCTACTACAAAGATAAAGAACTTTTCTCACATATTATAGAGGAAAAATAATAATGAAAATACAGGCACTGTAACATGAAAAGATCTTAAGATTTTTTTTTTTTTAACTTGTAGCATTAAATTAATTACCAATTGATGTTAGCAATCAAAAAGAATGAAATCACTACATGAAAAAAATCAAAGAAAGCCATCTATCTTTTGTTTTGCATTTTAATTAGGGTGATTTAGGTGAAAGGAATCTCCAGCTGTTTCTGACCAGTACTGTTTGAGAGCATTTTTGAAAAAATAAACTTAAATTTCATTAGAGAAAAAACCCTGGACAATCTCAGAAAGGATGGTTTTTATACTATCAAGAAAAGAAATAGACTTTACCACTACCTGCTTCCCATTTATCTAACATACATCACATATAATGTTATCAAATTTTGGAACAAAAAGCTTCGGAAGAGACTACAGTTCATCTCTCCAGCATGTTTTTTCACTTTCCTATCAAAACTATAAGAGAATTAACCACCACCATTATTTTCCTTGTAGAAGATACACAGGAATTGAATAACAGCTTCTAAGAGCATTCAGTGAATGCTGACTTCTACATCCACAGCCCTACATGAGACATGATGGGGGTAGAGTACAGCTGATGGTAGAATTCTGCCCCCCAAAAAGTCACAGCTGTGTATGGAGTACATCTCCTGCACAGGCATTCATGGCTAAGCAAGAACAAAATAAGCAGGAACTCCATCAGGAAACCATGCCCCCTCTAGTACATAGACAGCATAATATCAAATAAAGCTATTTCTATATTACATATGTCCAGAAGGCTTGGAAGTGTTTTGTTATTGTGAGGAAGACAGTAATTAAAAAAAAAGTTACTGATGGAGCTACCGACACACATCACAGAATTGTGCTTGTAAGGTCTACATAGAACTTGAACAAAGATAGGAAAGATTCAAACCTGTGACCAGTTCTCTGATTTCCAAATCTGTAGTCTTGCGAAGTAACCGTACTAAAGCTGGAATACCACCACAGTTTTTCAGAGCTATTTTGTTGTCATCATTTGCCTTCCCATACACCAAATTTCTCAAAGCTCCACAGGCACTACGGTGGACTTCAGTCATCCGATGGTCCAATAGGTCCACCAGTAATTGTATTCCGCCTTGTCTTCTTATCTGAAACAGGCCAAAATGAGAACCATAACATTAGGAAATAAAAACCAGTGGTATATGTGTTACCTAGTTTAATTAAGCTCTGGCTTATGCAGGGTATATTCCAGTAAAGGTATGCTGGCAGCCTCACAAAGCTGCTACATTACATCCATTTGAATTCTTGTATTACTTTTTTTGTGGAAACATAACCATAGAGTGACAAACCTCAATCTCTGTAAAAGCAATCAGAAGTTAGCCAAAAAGTGTTGCCTTTGCAAGATTTCCCAAGGTTCAGCAAGTTTGGCTTGTCATGGGTTTCTCCTGCACTGGAGAAACATCACCTGTTTCAGACTGTAATGCATCATAAGTTAGAGAGCATAAGCACTGTAGGAAAAGAGCATGAGATTACTGCACATGAAAAAAATACACCAAAAACTTTACTCAATAAAGTTAGTAGGAGCCCTTCCTTCTGCAGTTAACTCAAAATACGAGCAACTACTACAGCACCTGTGACAATGTTTTAACATCAAAATTGGAAAAAAAAAAGTCTTGCAAATGAAATTAAAAGGCAAAGAGGAGGAAGTCTGCAGAAACATAAAGAAAGGTACGATGGACATATCAAGGGAAATTCGTTCTATTAATTTAGAGGTGCATCCTGAAGTGATTTAAGACAAAAAGTCTTATTCATTCCTAAGCTGGCCTACATAGTAAGTTTTGAACATACCATCTTATATAAACTATCATTCTGTTATTAAGAGAAACAAAAATAACTAAGTTAAATCATCAAGGATGTCAAGAATATCAAGAACAGTTTATTTCAGAATATTTTGCAACAAATCCAGCTTAAGGGTACTCTGGCATTACTTCTCTAAAAATAGTAAATATACTTGTGTCTAATTATGAGACACAAGACTGATGCACAACTAACATGCAAGGAGTACAATACTTTAATTTCAAGTAGGCTATATAGACATCTCTGTCAAAAATTTTCTAAGTGTGCTGCTGGTGAAAACTCAAAGCAAGCCAGGAACTTACCTGGCCATTTTACCCCTCTAGTAATATTTTGACTGGGACGTTAGAAAGGAGGCAGCTAAAGGGTACTTCCAAAACTGCAGGAAAAGGGGAGATTTTTAAAATCACAGCTGTACTCATCAAGTCCAACCTTCTGAGAAGTGTGCTGGTCACTTTGAAGGCTATAGCAGCCAGCCCCACATGGGAATGCAGAGCTGTGAGCAGACATTGGTACAGTCAAGAAGAGCCTATGCTTCTATTGCTCAGAGAAATGCTGACATCCTTCAGTTCATTAACCAGAAAAAAGATATCAAAGAGAAAATGTGCTGCAGATCAAAACTTTACCAATGTGAACAGGATGACTTGCAACTACATTTGTCGTGTTCCAAGCCAGGAATAATTAACCAGATTTATCTGGGAGGAGTTAGGAGGAGGTAATGGTGGGAGGAGTGGAGTGTTGTTTGCTTGGTTTCTTTTCTTTTTTTTTTTTTTTTTTTCTTCCAATCTACCACCATTTAATCCTTGGTCTGAAATACATTTAATTCCCATCCTTTACCAGATTTTCAACATCAAGTATAACGCATGAAAAGCCACCTACACGACAAAAGAGATGACATTTACTGAAAGAGACTAGAAACAAAAATTTATGCTTCAGTTCTGCAAAAGGTGAACCAATCACGGAGCTTCACACTTCTACCACAGAAATGAGACAAGATCTGATAGAAAACAGAATGCAGTTAAAAAATACACAAGTTGTTCTGGAATGATGAGTAATATCAGGAGTGACAAAATACAAACATGCCCACCTACCTCGGTGTTTTAGTTTCTTTTTTAAAAACACAAGAGCTTGACTGAATATTTTAATTGCTTCAATGGCAAAAATAAAAAAAAATATGAATGATGAGAGGAATGAGAAAAAATACAAACTACACAGCAAAAATCCTTGTGTGTGCTGCAAAGCATTCAAAGCAAAAAAGGGCTCTGCCAGTGCTCCGAGGCAAGCTGTACCTGTGCAGTTTTTCCCACACACCAGAGCCTGGCCTTGCCCTGCTCCCATGGTGCATGCCTTGTTTCATACACTCTCCAGATAACATCTGTACAAGCTCCCCATTTTTCATTTTCTAGCGACCAGTCAAGTGACATCTCAAGCTCCTTCAGAATTACTGCTGTGGTGCTCTCAGGTGACACGTTTTCCCATCCTCTGCTCCTTTCTGGGTGAAAATGTCTGCTTTTGCCATAGTTAAGAGGTATTTTTGAGCTGTACCGTCTCTTGTCACTTGTGGTAACTCACAGCTCAGTAGCATTAGCTCCCAAAAATATGAAGTTGTCAATAGAATGAAGTCATTCAAAGATACTTTCTTAAAAGCAAGGACATTAAGTATTTATCTAAAATATATTTCCATCAAGAAAAAATAAGGGCAATACAACTAAAATGAAACTGATATTATGTAACACTACACCTAACCTGACAAATTTTCTTTCTACTGAAGAAAGAACCTATTGGCACATTGGAAAGACAAACATTACTTTGGCAACTTCCTTTGAATTTCCAAACTCAACTCCTTGGCGTTACAGCTGGAAAGATTATTGTGATGAAAACGGGAAAAGAAACAAACAGGGAAGGAATGGTCACCTGCACCCAAAGATCTAGGTTTGCAGGAAAGACTCCACAGATGAGGGACCTCCAGAAAGAGATCCTTCCTCGGTGGCAGTCAGCCCTTAAATGGGGTCTAAGAGGTGCAGCCAGGCTCCAGCCCTTCCGGTCACACAGCTGAATTGCCTCCACCTGTGCTCCCAGGGCTGACTCAGTCCCTGCTTCAGGTGATCAATCAGTGGCTCAGGCCTGACTCAACAGTTCCCATACACTTGGTAAAGTAGCTACTGTTGCAGGTACAGCAATGCAGCTGATTCTTCAGAACTAGGACCTTAGTTATCAATGTTTTTCTCCACCTGGGCTATTGCGTTATTTTGTTTTTCCTTTTCCAATAGCATTTCCCTAGAAGTCTCACCATGTCTTTGTATTTCCATCACTTATTACATAGCTAATTAATGCTTTATTCTTCAGCAGGTTGAACTATGCCTCACAGAATTGTGAGATGGTGATGACTGTTAACAGAACCTATTCACATTTGCAGAAACTTAGGCAAAGAAAATGAAATTTCTTTGTTCTTTATGGAGTTACAGCAGCCTGGAGAAGAATTCTGACCTACTAAGTTTCTTGGGGCAGATTCCGAATGGAGAGAAGTTGCCATGACTCAAATGAGCTCAACAGAGCTACTGCCAAATGTCTTTGCCAAGAATACTCAGATGGGTGGATAAGCAGCAATTACATCAGTGGGGCATCAAATCCCATCCCCCTAAAGGACTTTTGATAGATTCTTTTGTCTCTCTCCTGTCTTTCTGTGGAGAGAATCATTCTTAATGTAGTACCTATTGACACATTAGTAGCTACTGTGGTGCTGTATCTAGGAGAAAAATAAAACAATACAGTGACTGTCCGCTTGCCTACTGTGACCAAATAATCAGCATACTACCAAGTTATCACAGAATACAGGAGAAAAAACTGTTCTCACACAGCTCAATTCCAGAGTAGTCAGTAGTGAAGTCAAAAGAATTACTCTCATGTTCTGCAGCACAACTGAGTTCAGCCATTCACATCATAAAGTTCATTCTTCCTTGAATATATTGTTCCCTTTTCACTCTGTCGAGGTGATCAGACAAGAAGTAATAAAAATGCTAGGTGAATCTCTGTTACAGTATTTCTCAAATGCCTCTTCTAATCCAAGTATACCTCATTTCTGAACGCAGTTCCCTATTTTTCCCCTTACAAATATTTTCTGTATTTCTTCAGAAGATGGTAGTAGGCAGTTGTTAATAAATACAACGGGTTGCACTCTTTGCCCATGGCATGACAGAGTGTACAACAGTTCCTAGCAGAGACCAGAAATGTCATCATCCACAAGTCTGAATTGATTCTGCTTTCCTAATAACCACTCAGTGTAAATCCACGCTGACCAAAACAAAATTGGATAGAGTGGAGATGCCACAAATTTTTTCATGAATTTTTTTCCATGTAACAAGGTACAAAGCAGTTTTCCTCTAATGAATCCTATTTATTATTTTTTTCTTCCAGGAAGATTTTAAACTTTGCTTTTAAAGCTGAGCCTCCAATAATGTTAATGTTTGCTGATCAGAAGCACTTGATCAGCTCAAGTCAGGTCACGCTGTGCCAGTACTCACACATGCAAATTAAAGAAAAGATGCCAGACTTTCTGATTCACAGGTAGATCTGTCTAATTAATGTCAGTGTGATACATCAGAGTCTTCTTCTCTGGCCTCATAAAGAGTTTGTTTTTCCAGCACATCTGAGAACATATTTGTATCCACACTATGCAGACATAAGATGGATATGGACTTGAGATGTGGTTGCCCTGGAGGCTTTCAAGCTGAGGCTGGATCAGGCCCTGGGCAACCTGATCTAGCTGTGGTGCCCCTGTTCATTGCAGGGCAATTGGACCAGAAGGCTTCAGAGGTCCCTTCCAACTCTAAGGATTCTATGATTGCATGATTCTATGTGTTCAGACATTTGCTGGAGGTAGTGAAGTTACCTATGTTCCTAAGTAGGAAAATCTGGATGTCTCATGCAAAGAGTTTTTGAGAAATGTAATTTATAAGTTTCAAGCCTGACTATTAATCAGTGGATATTGCTTCAGAGCTCAAGAAGCCACAAACAGTTCAGAGTGTTGTTTACCACAACAAATTTTCCATGACAGTGGACTGTTAGATATTTAATCTACCAGGAGATACATGTGACCAGCCTGAAGCATATGCACTAGTAAAAACAAGTCAATGACACATTGATAATACGTCTGAATCAATACAGACTCCCTTGAGGACTGCATGATTTTAGCATATGAATTACTTCACAGCTTGCTTTCCTAATTTGATATAAGATTATATTTTCAGCCTTGTACCACATTCATTGAAGGACACAAACAAGAAAAATCTTCAGT